TCTGTTTTCTAGATTCTTTTGATGTTTTCTTTCTTTACCGTCCACACTCAGAACTTGGCAACGGAAGTCGACTGCAACCTCCCGAGTTACTTTCCGGATGGGCACAAGGTCTTCTGTCGCTGGGACAAGCAAGATGTTCCGGCACTGGCGCCGGAGGCACGTCTTGCCCGGTGCGCCCAACGAAGATGCTTGGAAATCCAAGTCAGCGGCACCTGCTGCTACGATTGGTCAGCGATGAACCAGCATGCCCTCAAGTCCAAGGGTCCATCGCAGATTTCTTTCTTTTGGTGGAAGGAGGGCCTGAAAGCCCACCAGCCGGACTTGGTCTTGCACGAGAATGTCCTGAGGTTCCAGGTGGAGCATCTCCTGGAGGGGATCGAAGACTTGCGCCTTTGTCACAATTATTATGGAACTGATCGTAAGCCCCACAGCAGAGTGTTGGTGCCTCGGTGGCTGAGGTACACTGCCTTCGAGTTCCGCATTTCACCGTGGCTTGGTGCAAAAGAAATGTATCATGTGATTCTGTCGAGTACCGAGTGCACTGACGGGCGGCGTTCCGAATCTGATCTAGGAGGAAGCATTCCAACTAAATCTTGCCGTGCCCCATGTCTTTGCGACCTAGGGTGGACATTGGGTGGCCTGTGAGGCGGCCCAGGCGTTTCACAGCTTTAGTCCATCGTCGATGGCACTGTTCCGCTTCGCAGGCCGACTTTGATTTTCATTTCGGCGCTTGTGCGTCCATGACGGGCAGCGATCTGCTGGCCATGCCACCAAGCATTGTGCAGGAGTACTTCCGAAACAAGCTTCGTCAGAAACACTGTCACACGGAAGGCCTTCTGACGTCATCTGATTTCACAAAGGTGCTGACTCCGCGGCAGAAAGGCGTTCTGCAGAAGTTTCAGGAGCTCTCTGCCAACGCCGTGGGCGACCTGGAGGACGACTTCTTGGTCGACTTGTCCCAGACCGACGAGTGGACCACGGCCTCAAACGATGCTCCATGCCTCCTGCGCGGATCCTTGCCGCTTGGTTCAAGTAGATGTCGTTGTGTTTGCGGAAGTGCCTGTCTTTTTTCGTGTTGCTTTGTGTGCATGGCAAGGATCTGGAGCCACAAGCTGCAGCGCACGGCCTTGCCAGCAGAACATCTGCTGCTGCAAGGCATCCCGTTGCTGCAGGACAACAGTGCCTGGAAGAAGTTCGTGTTTGACAAAGCTGCAGATCCCTTCTATGACAGTATGTTTCTCAGCTTGTCGGGAAATGCGATGCATCGTGCCGTCGTTGGCACCTGGGCTGCATATATCGTCGGCTCCCTGTCGCCTTGTACCCTACTTTCGGCGTTGCGGTTTCGG